GCCCCAACAACTGGAGAAAGAACACTGCTGAGAAAAACGACAATCATAGTGTATTCTTAATCATGAAACAACAAGCAAATATATGTGGTCAGTTGAGCATACGCGAGCAAACGTGGTGACGCGCCAATCAGATCGTGACCTTGACATTCAAGTTGATCGANTGACGCGCTGCGTTCTAACATCATGAAACCGCAAGACAACGGTCTGAGCATCTCTGTATGTTCCACCTCTGTGACGCCAGACTGTGTTACAACCAAATCAATGTATAATAATCGTTCTAACAAAGAGAAAGTTCAATCAATTTGCATGCGGGCGGAATACTGCCAGATTGCTCGGAACCAGTCAGGTGACGATTTTTTGAGAGTTCACAATCGGGGCGTTCGGCTAGCCAAAGCATGACCCGCGAGGTAGCGAGGGTAGGGTATTTGAAAACTGTCATCTGTTAGGTGCCAGGGTTAGATTCGTCGAACTATACGCCCTTTTGATGGGGTCAAACGTACAAGATGCCCAATACGCCTCAACAATCAACTGAACCGGTGACCCCTACCGCAACCGTAGTGTGGGCAAGAGTGGTTCATACACCTCTTCGTTGGTTTGGAATCCGGGAATCAGGTGAACTGCTTGTGGTTCACCAACCGGCTTATACCCGCGAATATCAGAGATTTCTCTTCTCCTTTTGATGGAAAAACATCGCCGCGAGGAGGCAGTGGTAGAAGTTATTCGAAAAACTTGGTCGCATTACGTGAGGTGCAAAGGAGCAGTGATCAGCCACAACCCGAGACACCCACATCTGACCATACAAAGCCTTTCAGAGACCGTCTCAGCATGAATGTTTAATCGTTCACCTTAACGATCGCAGAACTCACAAACAACAAAGTGATGCAGATCAGAATGAGTTTCTAAATTAGAAAAAAACAATGTCTTTGATGGTTTGCATATCGCAGTATCATTATTTTTTATAGCAGTAAATCGAAGCATAAGTTGTCATTCTGACAACACGGGTCATGAAGTTCGTTGAAGTATGTCTGAAGTACGTTGGCCTATCCGAACCCAATCTGAGGTTTGCAATGGAGCCAGTTACCTATTATTTTGAAACAGACCACTCAAACCTCATCGCCTCAATAATGTGTTAATTCTTCCCCTTTAGTAAATGTTTAATTTCTTCAAAAATAGTATTACTCCGTGCAAATATATCATGATGATCTCTACAATTGCTTTGGTTAATTAGGAATATATAATTGGCAGACTTAATGGTTCCATAGTTGCTCTGTTCCCATCGTCCTTTTTACCCTCCGTTAGCCCCACATCAAAAACGTGTAAATTAAATTTTAATCAAAAAATGTAAATCAATACAATCCGGGGAGATTAGCGGCATGAAACGATGTACCATTTGCTCCACGTTTAACCCTTGGCAGGTTACAGCCTCAGCGGGGACTTTATTCGAAATGGAAATGAAATCCCTATAGGAGTATCTTGGCCAGATGAATCTATCATAGTAGTCACAAACCTGGTGAGTCATTGTGCCGATTTGTTAACCCTTCCGAATTGTCCGATTGTGTGGATATTTGCCATGCAGTTGGCAGTTATTCTTCATCTTTTGCTGTTGAAGCCATTTCATGACTCAGCACAGGTTGATTTGTTTGCTTATTTTGGAGAAATTTCACGGGCTTACAGCGGTTCAAACTGACCAGGCACACCCACTGCTTTGATTGATATCACCATCTATTCTCTCATTTTCGCGGGCGCACTATGTCTATTGAATTTGTAAATGTACAGTTAACTTTTACGAAAGGGACTGTGGTCATACGACGGTTGCCTGGGGAAATAAAGAAATAGGAAAGACGAGCGGCACTGAAGCAGTTCGAACTCGGGACTTCTGGGTCACAATTTGGCTACCTAACTACCACCGTCAATATACTATCTCGTGATTCCGGCTGATTCTGATCAGTGTTCACGTTGACGGTGATATGCCCTCACCATCCGTCAAACTATGCGCAATCAAGCTAACATTCACAGTTGAATCTAATATTCTTGTCAGAATTATTGTTCTAGTGTATGCTAGGTCTTAGAAAAGATCATTCTTTTGAGCAATCGATGAAAGCCTAGATCATATCTCTGTGTGTTTCAGTTCCCTCTTCTCCCAAGGTTCAAGTAGTCTGGAGAATGGTTGCATCCCTTTTGCTGAAACTACTCTGCATCAATGTGTCGATGCGGTTGGTAGAACCCAAATTGCTTGGAGAGCTGCTCACGCTGCATTGTCAGTTTTGTGTGAGATAACCGGCGCGTGTTTAGTGATAGATGTGCATGAACACATTTTCCGTTTTGCCCTAAGCATCTTAAAACAGGTTCCATGGATTCAGGTGTCACGAGATCACAAAAGCACGCATTGCTTTTATAACCAGAAATAAAAAATCACATCCTTATTCAGCAGTCGAAAATGTTTGTCCATTAAAAACTGGATTGAGATGCCGTGTCCTGATTCCCGTTTAGCTCATTATACGTCCACGGTGAAGAATATCAACAAGAACATATTAGTGTTTACTTCATTCTCTATCATTTTGCTCATTCGTCCCTTCGGGTAGATGTTGAAGTGGTTCGCGGATTCTCAGACCGAGTATCATCAAATTTGGGTGACCGCGGAGAGGGGTTTTCTCCCTGTCATGCATGTCGATGTCCGGTTAAGGTTTGATGTGACGGCGTACGGCGGCTTAGTGAAAATTGAGAAATCACAATACAGTAAAGAACTGGGAATGTGGAGTCACCAATACTCAAGTGAAAACGGACTGAAAGATTTTGAGTTTATAAGTGAGCAACATTTCGTTTTCGTTATTGCCCGCACATATCATTTGTTACCAGTTCGGAGCCTTTGTTGTTGTATTGATGGCGCTGTTGTTGTTGTTGAAGGTTTGTCACTGGATTCGATGTCGCTTGTATCATTGGTGTTGATTTAAACGATAGCGAAAGTGATGCTGTCAGTGGCGTCAAATGATTGATAAACCAACTGTCCATTTTGGGAGCATATAGAAACCTTCATGATTAATACAATGTGGGCTTACCTCCGAAAAAACGGACAGTGATCATATTTCCTAATAAGTATGCCCTTCTATTGAAACACAAATGAACACAAATGTATTCCGAATTTCAGCGGACCAATCTCTCGGTAAGTTTCACTTGTGCACATGGGTTGCATGATGCACTAATTTTTGTATTTGTTTACCCCAGCTTTGATAGCAGATGATTTCTCAAAATGCCATCACTAATGGGTATCAAACAGGTACTATTGGTAACACCGTTAATTGTGCGATAACCTTCACAGATTAGAAGAGGTTGGCTTGACTATGGTCAGAGGTTTAGGTAATCTTCACGCAATACTGCAGTCCTATTTTACAGATTACCCCTGAATAATAGCAAATTCTTTTAGTTTGGTGAGAAACAATGACTGTTTTGCTTGAAATGCGGAAGAGAATATGTTTTCCAGCTATTGTTCAGACCTGTCACTCCGAGCATAGGATATTGATTTCGCCTGATAGTAAGGAGAAACCGCCAATCAGAAGCTGTTCAGTTCATTTATTATTTGCTTTTCAACTTCAGAAAAAATGCGTGACTCTAAGGTCCAGTTCATGCAACTTCCCCCTAATAGCCCAGATCTCAACGTGATTGAAAATCTGTTTT